CTTATTCACACAGCTAATGATCTCTTAACCCTTTCGGCCCTGGCGGTGGCAATTGCCACCACCAAATTCAAACGCTTGCATTGCCGCTGAAACAGCATGGTTTTTCTAATCCTGCTAGAGGTTGCTTCAGTCAACCTTCCCTTTCCTAATTATGAGCTAAACCTGCCATTTCATTGTGTGTTGCTGTTAGTATTACAAGTATTTGTGTACAAGTGCAACAATGAATGGGCGCTGACCCCCGCAACCGGCCAAGTAAGTGTGACTTTTTCTTAAAATACTTGAAGTAGATCCATTCCTAAATCAAAATTATGGGTTATAATTATGCAAGATTATAAACTTTTTCGGCATAACTATGAAATTTCGAATTGTTTCGACATAAGCTTAAAAACTAAGAAGGTGGGCCAATTTTCAAAGCTTCTTAGTTTCTTTGTTTGTGATCGAATAGCTTCCAAATTTCGCCATAATGATACCTATATGCTCACAATAAACAAAGCTAGAAGTTCCCGGGAAAAATTCAGCCACGGGAGAAAATTCAGGAGAAACTGTTCTTATCCACCCTTCAGAGCGCTGGATCAAGTACGCAGGAGAAGTACAAACTTCTTTTCCTGATGTGTGACGTGAACAGCACTGGTCAAGGACATCGCAGTGATTTTGTCGACCTCATTCGCTCTCTCAAAGCCATCGTCGGCGTTGACATCACGGACAACACCCAAAACAACGTCATCAACAAAATTGCACCAATCAGGTAATCAGCCAACCCTTTTATGCATCACCACTTTTGATGGATTCACTTTATGAGGCAGAATCATCTAGCTATTTACTTACTATTAGTTGTGCTGCCCACGGCGGAAGTGATGTAGGGGCAACTGTAACTTACCGTGCGTGCGATCATATCCAGTTATCGACGCGCTTTCTAGGTCACCCAAGCCTTCCATCCTTCCCAGGTCAAGTAGTTGGTGCTAGACTTGCCTGTGATAGCGAAAACACTTTTTTGTACATCGGCTGGCCCCCGCATACCATCGTACAGGTCAGATCCAAACCTGCTGCGACGACTTTGCACGAAAGTCGAATGTGTAGCGCATCCCAAAAACAGGGGCTGATGGATGCCGAGTGCTTTGGTCTTGCTTCTTTAACCCTGACGAGGTCAAACATTAAGGAGAACAATGCAGTGAGCACTTACGCTAAGTAGAGCCGGTCAATCGTTCACACGCTGCATTCAATCTATTACTTTATTCGCTATGGGTTCAGGCGGGTTATACGATGACGAGCCAGGCCACTGGAAATTAAGGTAGAGACAATTCAGTGATGGTCAGAGTGGGTCCAGTGATTACAAAAGAGAGAAACTCAGAAAACATGCCTTCAGAAGCGAAAAAATGAACATCCCGTTGTCATAGATTTCCGCACTTTGATTCGTCTTCTTATTGAAGGCTGCCCTCTTCAACAAAAAACGCTTCTCTCTGAACCAGAAGCTCGACAGCGAGAGGGTAGCGTGCCGTGCCAATAGCGCACCAACTAGGGTGTGGGGAAGGTCATGCTAGATCGCTGGGCCACATCCTTCGATGCGAATTTGCGGTTGCATTCGATGGGCAGCTCGCCTGTCTCTTCACTAGGAAGGTGTTTCCCTCTGTTCACCTTCGTCGCTTAATCGTGGGAATCCTCTCTTTGAAAGTTGCGTCAAGAAGTACTCCCACAAGTACACTTCAGTCTTGGCAAAACCTGCCTTTCGATCAGGTTTTTTTTCAGGAGTGAAACCTAACTCTGATTATTTAACAACCGCGGACTTTGAAGCGATTTTTGCACAAGCCGGCAAGGGACGTCCTGTTGGTGTGGAATTGCGTGGTGCAAAACTCAAAATAAAACTGGAGGAGTGAGTTTTTCCAAGTTCGCGTCAACTTCCTACTCAACTGAAGCTGATAACTACTCATTTTACGAGAAATTCAATTTCATGGGAACTTTGAGTGAGTGCTTGGGAATAAGCAGAATTGGGCGACGTGAAGTTTTGTCTTTAAGTCGATTAGAGGGGTTACGAGATTTATTGCGTATAATTTCAACTTAATTTGTAACTGCCAGCTTGTATGTAACCTGCTTTTTTCGTTTGGGCCTTAGGAAAATCTCTTTACATAACTGAGCAAACTATGACTTCGTACTAGCCATAAATACATTATAAACAGTTAGAAAACATCTCTGAAGAACTTTCGGGAACGTAACACTTTTTTTTTGGTTGTTTTTTTTATTTTTTTTTGTGAGATTCTATATAAAATTCAAAAGTAGACGATGTCGAGTTTGACGGGTACTTCCCTCAGCAAGAGTCGCATGCCATTTTTGGGGATGGGGAGTCTTTTGAAAAGCTCTCTGGAATATCTGTACTGGTGATCTTCATCATGTTCACCTCCTTAGCAGAGCTTTATAGGAGTCACATTGGCTCTTCTTATGGTAAAGTCCCGTAGAACACGGTCAAGCTGTGTACCCGTTAAGGAGGCCCGTCGCGCGGCGAGAAAGCGCGGAGACACAGACGAGTTACTGGGGAGCGTTAGCGTCAAGTTAAATAGAGTGTACCAAAGTATGTTTCATTTCGCACAATACGCGCTGCGACTCGTCCGCTGACTAATTTGCGTCCCTGAATTCTTGCCATGCGACGGGCCTCCTGTCGGATACCTCAAGAAGTGGGCGAATCAACGGGTCTGTCATAGGGGCGAAGCGCAAAGTCAGTTCACATGAGCAGCTGCAAGGTGATAGTAGAGCTCCTTAGCGTTTCTGTGCTTTCTTTCATCGCAAGTGTGCCACTATTCGAGGATAATTTAATTTCTGGGCCCAATAGCAGACAGTTCATCTATCGTTGAAGATGGCTTACAACCCAGTTCCCTCTACATGGAGTGGTCCCTCAAGAATATACATAAATTAATTGTTTAGAACGGCTTCACTAAACTCATTCGCTGTGCCCACATCTACCGGCGGCGATTCTGTGCATCGCAGCGTTTTTGGCACGATCGCAGCTGTCACTGGCACGTACCGCCAACACATCTTCATACTGTTCATCTTTTGCTGCACGAATCTGATGATTTTCCTGGAGAGGTTCCGATGTCAGTTCATTCTATTTAATTTATTTCAACCCAAATAATCTGGACGCTTTCAGTTCACCGGTACGAGAATCAACATCTGGATCAGCATCGGGTGATGGGTGTGGGGATTGCCATCACCCGAGGTGCCGCTGGTGCAGTATCGTTTTGCCTTGGTGTCGTGCTACTGACCGTTTGCCGTAACGTCATCACAATCGTCAGAGGAAACGCCTCTCGGCGAGTTCATCCCGTTCGATTCCGCTATCGGTTTCCACAAGGTTTGTGCACTTGTCGAACTATAAAATCGATTTCTTATCGCTGTATGATCTTCTTTTTCGTATTTTCAGATTGTAGCCCTGTTTGCTGCATTCTGGGCTACCGTACACACAATCGGTCATTGTGTGAACTTTTATCATATAGCGTCACAAAGTAAGGAAGGACTGCATTGTTTATTCCAGGAAGCTGTGGCTGGGTTCGTATTGGATGAGTTTTTTACTTGTCACCATTCATATAGCGAAAGATGAAGAAGTGATAGAAGTAATACCATGGGTTCGCACACGACATTTGCACTCGGCGCTTCAAGCCGTTTGAACCGCTTCAGCTTCTTGTGCCCTCGCCTACGCCTCTGCAGGCAGGGTGAAAACCATGTCGAGGACTTAGTCGCAGCAGTACGACCCCACGCATCCTAACATCTTGTGATGATGGGCATTTGCGGATCGTAATTGAATGACTAGGAGTAATGTGACTGAGCGGCTCGGACCTTAAATCGTACTGAATGCGTGCGCGGTTATCATATCAGAATTTTCTGCCCCTTTAGCCCCGGCCCGGGGCAGACCTTGGAAGATCTGACACTGCCTTTTGAAATACCATACATTTCCCTAGTTCATTACTTTGATTTAATTAGGCTGTGGTTGACTTAGATAGAGCTGGGTTTCTCGTTACTAATCAGCATTGAATGCTCTAAAAGCCTTCCACTTGGAGGGATAGGGTCTCTCAAATTTTGTCGAGGCAGCGTCGAGGACGCTGAAATTTTCATGCTAGTTTTTGTCCCTTAAAAGGCAATTATCTCTTCGAATTTCACGAGGATCTAGTTCAGGGTTGTTATAGAGTAGCCCACGAGTATCACAGATGTGCCGTTGTCACGGTCGAAGGTGTGCGACAATGGCGCCGCTGTCTTACAAATTCAACATTTGGTGGTCAATCTTAGCATTTCCGGCTAATTCATACAGGGGAGGGGGCAAAAAAAAAAGGAGACATTTTGTCACTTGCCCCACATTCGGCCCTTTCGCAGAGATTGCTTTCGTTGACGGAAGTTCCTCAGCAGAGTATTCCCTAAGTGTTCCTCTATACGTAGCTTCTCCTTCACTGCCCTCACCGTCTTCAGAATATGACGTCATCTGTCACCGTCGTCAGGCTCAAGGAGGTCTACCGTAAGAGCTTCAGCCTGAAGCTCTTACGCAATTTCGTGAATCGATTTAATGTTGGATAGTTTTCTAGAGGCATTAGCTACCACTGTGCAAATCCCCTCGAAACTAGCTTTCCAGTAAGGGTCGTTATGGTACACAATCAATTCTTAAAGGCAAACCCCGGGATTAGCCCGACTAGTAGGAAGGATACCGCGAGGGAAATTGTAAGACCCGTACCTACCTAGATCACTTCAACTTGGTCGCGAAAATCGCGCGGTTAGGGCGCTAATCCTTACGGGCCTCCAACCATCGAACGCTTCCCACCCACCGCGAGATGTGGTGAGATCAGCGTGCATTGATGTAGAGATCAGCGTGCTCTCTCAAACGACGTTCTCTCTCGCGTATTTTGACCTCTCTGATCGCCCTGTCTCGCCATCGTACCACATCCGACCTTTTTGAAGGTTAAGGCCTTAATTTCAGCGTTCCCAAACTTTCCCTCTCCTTTCGGGTCGCTCCGCAGTTAGGCTATCACTACGAAGCGCTCTTAGCACCAGTTTAATTCCGGAGTTCGCCTTCAAATGAAATGCGCTTCTCAATTCTAAGTTGTAACCATTCGGTTTGAATTAAGCAGAGTGTGATTAAATCCATCTGAATGTGGAACAAAATGTCTTCTTTCTTGTTGTCCCTCCTGTGTAAAGACGGTTAGTTGAGCCGTGGAGCAGGCAAGTTCGTACAACTCATTTGGCCCCGTCTCTTCCTTATTTCAAGGGGAATCTTTGTTCAGGACTTCATCGAAGGTTTTCTTTGCTTCTTTTTCAATTTTTAGTAGACCCGAAATCCGCAATTTCATTATCAACACCGCTGTCACCCCACAAAATCGGATCTGATGATGTTGCGTAATAGGGTCCTTGCTGTCTTAGAAGGGAACCTCTTCTCACATTCTGTCGCGGCAGGGCGACCCTGACTCATATTCGTATAACTGACCTTTTCAAAGCTGTTAAATTTTGTTTCTAGATCTAAACTTCTTACCTCGATCAGCTCATTGGTTCTACGGGCACTTTACCGGTCTCCCGGATAGCTCTCTTCGCGGTGATGTCAATCATCTATTGTGTTTCGCACTTCAAGTTCATGAGAGGGCATATCACGCGTTCGGTAGGGGTGATAGAAACCACGTCCCATTCCTTCCTAACTTTTGCAACTTCAGACTAACCCATCTGCTGAACATCGCTTTTTACGCACTGATTATGTTGCATGGACTACCAAGATTACTCGATGTGAGTGCTGTGTTCACTTCTTGTCTCTCATAGAGAACGATTCCAAGACAAGGTAGCAGGTCGAAAAAAGGAACTGTACCTTACCAACTATACCTAAAGGAAAAGCAGCCCTCAAGTGAGGAACGATGCACGTTCCGCGGCTAATGGCATACCCTTTGATGGTCTGCAGGGACGTTCAGGGTATTCGCGACACCAGCGCCCGAACGCGCCCCCGCCCCCCCCCCCGTCCCGCGGTCAATGTTGCCGCGGGATAATATAGTCCGCTTTGCGCAGAGTGTCACGCTATTACGGGCAGCACAAGATGAGATGCACACCTGAAGGGCGAGAATCAGTGGGCGTAAAAGCGGCTTATTCATAGGGTTTAGGCTGTTCCTCTCACTTTTCCTCATACTCGTATCATTGTCTTCTACCTCTGGCCTGATTCTGTTGGGCTGCATTCTCATTGCAAACTCCGCCTCAGAAGGCAATCAGTACGACAAGTGGGATGTTGCAGGGGAAAGTTGCTCACTGTAAAGGGAGAGGCTAAATTCCCAAGGGGACTTGAATCGCTGTGAAGGTCGACCGCAGTGTCCTAACAAGGCTCTACCCGCTTCGGTTGACGAAGTTCGGGCTCGAACTGGTATTATCGCGCTGGTTAGGGACGTGCAGATGTAAAGCGCAAGCCAGATATAATGGATAGAAATCGGCGGCAGGGACAAAAATGAAATCGCACCATACTCCAGTATTGGCGAAGCCCGCCTGGAGTAAGGGTTTACGTTAGTGGGAGGAGCATAGGTGAATGTTTGGAATCTAGCGGCACAACCTCGCTAAGTTTGGCATCAAGGGGGTTTATGCTCTGCCCTTGCTTCCCACTCAATATTTCTCGCGCCAAAACTTCATTTCATCTAGAAATCCCGAAGGGATTGATGGGATTTCGAGCGCATTGCTCAGCCAAAAGGAAAGCCGACTGCATCATTCCCGATCAGTTTAACGGCCGGGCGCTATCGCTCGCACACAAGGCTCCCTGACGATATCAACTGGGCAACCGAACTTCTCAAAACTTTAACTGCACTCGTCTTGGGCACATGAGCAGCACACCACCAGCATTTGACCTTGCGAACATCTTAGGTTTCCTCTCTGATCAGAATGATACAGTTTCGTAACAATCCCACCCACCCTGATGCATGTTCCGCCCACCATTAGCGCATGCTTATTTTCCCATTCTTTTTACCTAACGTACGTAGTAGTAGTAGTAGTACTAGTAATTATGGAATCAATATTTTTCAGTCGCCAAAGTTCTGGAACTACGTCATTGGTCCAATAGTCATTTTTGTAATCGACCAAATCATGGGAATGCGTCAGAAATACAAGGAGAACTGAACATCATCAATGCTGAACTTCTACCATCCGGTAGGGCTCCGGGAAATTATCCACTTTTCATGCCTTAGGTCCTTGATTATTCTTTTTCGACTAGGGTGTGCAATCCTACTCCTTGCAGATATCATATATCTACAGTTCAAGCGACCATGGTCCTTCCATTTCCGTTCCGGACAATGGGTACGTATTTCGTCGCCTACGTTCTCCAGTACTTTCAATGAATGGCATGCCTTCTCGCTCGCCTCAGCACCTCAATCTCCAACCGTTGAACTCTACATCAAGGTTTGTTTTGAGATTGACAGCTGGCATCAGCAGGGAGAGTCACGTGTCTAAGAAATTTGGGGAACCCTTCCTATGGTTACAGCCTTTTTCCCAGTTTCTCACAACTTTCTAGGATCCCTAAAAACACATTTCTCCCACGTTGCGATGGGCGAGATTGTGACAAAGGCATTCTGAACCTGGTTCTACTTGATACACTTCCAACTCCCCTTCCTTCCTCCCCCTACCCTCAGAACTGCGACAGATTTCGAGAATGTAAGAGACAACTACTGAAATAGCAAATTTTCACACTTAACTAATAACCTACCAGCCCTTCGTCTCTCCTCGAGTCAAAAATGGCCTATCACCTTCAAGAAAATGTGATTGTCATCAAATATGATCCTTTGTCGGGGAATCCTCGATGACTCACTCTAGGCACTACATAAGACATATTTGGTAACCTAGAAGTAAAATTCAAATATGGACTCAATTCAAAATTAGTCTCATTCCTTCCAAATACAGGCAGTTGGTCCGTGGACATGGAAACTGAGATCACAAATTCTTCGCACTCAAGCTGGCATCTCACCTTATCCACTTCTCCACATGAGAGGTCCTTATGGAGACGGAAATCAGGTATTGAAAATTCAATTAAATGCTTTTTAATTCGCAGTTTAAGACTTGCCAGTTATACCAGGGAAATTCCTATTCTCTGCTAGGAGGTGTCATAGTACTTGACAGATGCGAGTTCTAACCGACACATTACAGGGGGAGGTGGTGGAGGCGGAGGTGGCATAGGGCTTAGTGGTGCTGCTTATCGTGCGCACGGTGCGAAGTTCAAATCGCGTTCAATTCATTTCAATCAGCCAAGTCAAGTTCAAATCCCACTTAGGCTATCTAAGCCTTTCTCCCTGCCAGGGCGACAAATCGGTATCAGACTTACCCTGCAGATTAAACTTACTGGTTTCAACATCAGTTGACCCCCACAACTCGTGTTTTGCTCAGTAAATTGTAGCAGCTCTGCTCCCTTGGACCGGGCAGCCTCATGGGAAGTGCC